AATGAGAAGGGCAGCGATTCTTCGGTTGTTCTTTCTGTCTTCCTGAACCGCCAAGCCTCGGCCCTTTCTTAGGCAGAGATGCAGCCTGTTCAGGTGGACAGGAAGTGCCATGGTTTCCCCACTCTGTTGGGCCAGCTTACTCCAGCCCCGGGGAGACTAGGAGATGTAAGGTTCCTTTGAGTTAACGGGCCAGCGTCATGAAATAACCTTCAGAGCCTGCTCTCAAGGTCATGTACCCAAGGATAGGGGCCATTTGCCAACAGTTCAGGACCAGAAGGTACCTGCTGAAAGTCGGGCCACCCAAAGCTTCTGACACACAGGGAGGTGCACCTAGATTTCACGTGGGGGCAGGGGGGGGGCGGCTTTCCTTCACGCCCCCATCTCCACCCACCGCACTTACACCGATCGATGTGGCAATATTTATTCCTATTTAATTGAGACACTGGTTTAATTTCAGATTGCTTCGGCTTAGGGCCCAATGGGGCTTTCTGCAGCTCTTTTCCCCAGTGCTTCTACAGAAACTAATTGCTGTTAATATCCAATTTTGGCTTTATTATTCGTTAGCCAATTATGTATCCCATAGTCCAGGCCTCTTGCTGCTCAGTGCCTCTGCTGGAATCAGCTAAAACGATGCCTGGCTTTTGCTGCTCTTCCCCTTGTCTCTTTCCAAGCTCTCCTTCCCCCAGATGATTGACTAGATGTATCAGTCATTTTGTTTGTTTGTTTATTTGTTTCTTAAGCTCAGCACTAGCCAAGCTGGAGGTTCCTGTAAGCATCCTCCCTCCCCCCCAACCCCAGACAATTCTTCTTTGCAGTTGAAGTAAAATATTTCCATTTTAAGGGGGGAAAAAAGAGTTCTTCCATGCTCCCTCACTCCCTCTGAGGCTCCTTTTTGCAGCAGCGTTTGTCAGTGCGAGAAAAGCGGGTGTCTCCGCTTCCAGGCTTTCTCTACCTCCCCACTCTCCTCCACACCTCCCCCAGGAGCCTGACCACAGCCATCCTTAAAGCCATCACATGTATGTAACACCACAGCTTCAAGCAGGGGGTCCGGACGTCTGTAATCATTTCACATTACTAGGAGGGGAACTGCAAAAAGCAAACGGGGAAAGGCACCATTTTCTGAGATCAGAAGGGAGGCTCTCACCTCCTCCCTCACAGACATCTTAGGAAACCAGCCCGCCACACGCTCCGCCCCGGTTTACTCCTTTCCCAGTGCAGAGCAGTGGAGGGTAGAAACCCATTTAAAACACTAAATAAATATCTCCTTTTGCCTCGTCTTATTTGTGTGCTCTGAGTGCCTCTATATACAAGAAGCCATCACTTTCCATTTCTGGTACTCTGGGGAAGAGAAACCGGAAGAGAAAAGTCGAAATCGTTAGGACAGCCTGGTGATCCTTCTTTGTCTGCTCCTCCTCCTCCCCCCAGTCTCAAAGAATGCTTTCGGTGTTAGCGTGCAGCCTCACATCTCTCTCTCGCTGTTCTGAAGCAATCTGCACAGTGTCAGCATCAGACTCGAGTGGCGACAAACAAAATGTCAGAGCAGCTGGCTTTGGCTCAGGCCTCCCGTGACCACCTGGAGACTTGGGCCTGTTTGTGGGGAAGCTAGGAGCTGGAGGCTTTCCTGCTGGCCTGGGAATTCTATGGTCAGGTTTTTCGTAGGGGGAAGTGGGTGGTGAGTGTTGTGTGGGGCTGGGACATTGTTAAGAAGGTGCCTTACACATAAGGCTCAATAAATACCACCCAAATTGGATGTCATTAAGTTAGCAACAGCTGCCCTTCTGCTTTTCCTGCAGAAAAAGCTACAATTATTCGTGAAGGCCTGGGGGTAAAGGAGTGATAGAGTGGCATCCCGGTGAAAGAAGGAACTTCAAGATTCTTCTAGGTGAGCTCACCTCCTTGCCTCATCACCCACTCACATTCTCCCAGCCATGTGGAGTTTCTTTTCACATAGCTCCTGCTGGGAAGAGAAAGTACATAAGCAGACCCAGTCCCAGACATAATTCCTAAGGGGGAGAGGGGTGGAGAGACAGCACAGCATTTCCTTGTGCATTCTAGTGGTCATCCTTATATGCAAATCTCCCCCTTCACCACCTCTGATTGACATCTCACCAAGGTCTTCTTCTCCCTTAAACCGTTACAGTTACAGTCTGGGAAACCCACTGGGGCAGCTTGACCCTGGCCTACAGGGTCACTAGAAGTCAGCACCCACTCGCTGGCAGTGGGTTTGGAGGTTTGGTTTGGAGGCCTTCCCCACCGAGGTATAGCCTCTAAAAATCATCGCCGTAGCAACAGTCAACTTGTGTCTGCTCCCAGCAGGAAGGACGGTGGTGCTTCCGTGGTACAGTTCTCGCCTCCCTGCACCTCTCTGCCAGTGGAGGCTGGCATGTTGCTCTGATGGAAGACAGGTTTCAGCAGCGCTTCCAAACGAGGAGGACTAGGAAGGAAGGCCTGGCCAGCTCCATGGGACATTTCGCCCATGAAAAGCCACCATGGTCCGATCACAGAGAGGCACAGGAGCAGACACCCTTTGCTCCTCTGTCTGAGGGGTTGCGGTGAGTCAGAAGCCGAGGGCAGCTAACAACAAGCTCCTCCTCTCCCCTTGAAAGTGGCTAGACGTCTGCATTCTCTGTGTTCAAGAGAGCCGAGGAATGAGGAACGGAGGGGAATTGTGGAAACCATTTCTTAACTTGCACTTTGTAAGGCAGGCGCTTCCGTGGAGCACGTGGACAGGCTAACGAGAGGAGCTTCTGGTGGAGGCACGTAGGGGAAGAAAGCAGCGTCACCGCCATTTTTCCACTTTCTGGGAGAGGATAGCTTTCATCGCTAATGATCTGAGCTGACACTAAGCCCACTCCATAGCTCGCCCCAATAACCCAAAGTAGAATTGGGTCCAGAACCAGAAAGAAAACAAACGTGTGGCTGCCTCCAGTTGATGCCGACACAGAGCTGAACCATTGCCAAGCCAGGGCTGTGGGCAAGTCCTTGCAGGGCAAGAAGCAGAGTCTGTT